TCCTGTTGTTAGAAATTTAAATCTATCAAAGAAAGTAGCAGGGGGTCTATCAAAAACTTGACAAGTTGTATACGAGAGAGAAAAGCTAGGGAACCTCTGATATCTACTGATGTACTTGTAGATTTTTTATTAGAAAACATTTTAACTTCAAAACAAAGCATGTATGTAATTGTTTGTGGAAAATGTGTTGCTTCTCAGATCATTGTTTTTATTCGAAGTTATTAAAAACAAAAATAATATTTAATTTTTTTAAATTTATTATTTTACAAGCAAGTTACTAAAATATTAGATCTTTCATACATTATTGGATATAATATGTTTCACAAACTTACTGTTTTAGTTCTATATAGCTTGAAAGCTTTTAGCAGTATTTTTTTATTTTTATGATATTAATTCTTCTGTCATACAATATATCCTATCATATATCTAAGTACACAGCATATCATTTTATTCAAGTTTAAAATATGTTTGAAAAATTCAAACCATAAAGTGAAATAACATTAAATTTTAAGGGTATGATACGATAAAAGTCAATATAACATACTTGCTTTTAATCTTTCAATGTCCAGAAATCTAATAAGAAGGAAATTAACTGTAACATTCAATTTCTTAAAATGATAGTATAACCATATACCTTTATTTATTGTAAAAAGTACTCAAATAATTTATTTAAGATTAAAATAAAAATCTAGTTAAACAGGTTTCTTAAATTTCTAAGGAAGCTCGTTTTGATATTTAACTACTTCTATTTATTTTTAAAAGCAAAATACATAACAAAAATTTAAAAAAAAAATGCAAAGAAGCAACATCATTTTAGTTACATATACTTTATATTCTATAAATATCACTTTATGTAAATTCGTATAGTTTTGAAAATTTACTTTATAAAAACTTTTAGAAATAAATAATACACATACTTATAGATTTACATAGTGGAAATAGTCAGTGGAATTAGAATATTGTAAAACTAAAGAGGCACTAAAATCAATAGTCACATACAGTGTGCTTGCTTTAAGGGAAAATTATGTTAATTACTAAACCATATTTTATATTAATGACGCTGCCTGATAATTTATAAGTAAATTTTATGTAATCAGATACTTTTGTTTCAGACTAACAGCTATCGATATATAGTTCTTTTATCAAAGTATGCAGGTAACACGATTTTGTTCATTGATATTATAATTATATTCATTAATATTTGCATTGTTAGTTTTACGTATGCGTGGTATGAAAATGCATTGCTCAATAATCTTATGCATAACGAAGCAATATGATAATTTTAACAGTTTAATACAAGTACATTTTTTATAAGATAATTCATACTTTGTAATATTAAGGTTGTTTGTTTTGAAATGTCATTAATACACTGCAATATGATAAACACAATCTTTTAAACACATAAAAACAAACCCTGTATATTCCGATAAAAAATCGGTATAGTTCGGATGTCACAATTTTTACTTTAAAAAACTTTGGCAATATGAAACACTTCCCAAAATCAGAGTTTTGCTACTTTCTTTTCCAATCTTTGCCTTTGCCTTTAGAATATTTTTTATCAAAATTATTATTACTCTGCCTTGGAACGTTAAGGTACATTTTCCAATATTTGAAGATATTTTTTTCATATCAATTCATACATTTGAATTTCAATTAACAAGCGTTTAAATGATATAAAACAAGAAGTTATTATGCTAATATGTTTAAAATACTTTTATTATACTAATATGTTAACCCCCTATAGGTTACTCCAAAAATTTCTCGTATAAATAAATATAATTATAAAAATGAAGCTCACATACAGTCAGCGCAATTCATATAAAAACACTTGCTAATGAGAAGTTGTTTTCTAAGTACTCGAATTAGCAAAATTTTTTTTTTTGCTTTTTTATTGATTGAATATTATCTCCAAAACATGTTTTGTTATGTTTAAGGCGTCATTGATTCTGCTAATTTAATTGGTGCTTGCTATTTTAAATCTCTCGCTTTTATTGTTAAAAAAAAGTGCGCAATTCACATAAAAACACCGGCAAATTGTGCATTAAATATTACTTTATTGATATTGTATTGACAAAAAATAAGAATATTCGCTATTTCTAATTTGTTTTTTTTTTTTTTTGTGGCCAAAAATTATAATTTTTTAAAATGCCTAGATGAAAACTTTTAATGGAAGCTGAAAAATCAAAAATCGAGGCTTATAATGAGTTGGGGATGTCACTAAGGGAAATAAGTCAAAAAATCTGCAAATCACACACGGTTCTAAGAAAGTTTTTATTATTAGATGAAAAATATGGAAAAAATCGCACGTTCGACCATAATAAAAAGTTAACATCTCGGCAAAAATCTCTAATCTTTCGGGAAATAAGAAAAGATCCAGGACAATAAAGACCTTCGGAGGCTCAAATTGTTAATAATTTAAATCTACCAATCAAGAAGCGTCGTATGCCGCAAATATTAAGAGCTAATAAGAACATAATTTATAAAAAACCATTAAAGAAACCTGAACTTTTAAAACGACATAAAATCGCTAGATTGCAATTTGCTAAAGGCCATATGGGAATGAATGAAAAATGGAATTCAATTTTTTTTAGCGATGAAAAGAAATTTAATTTAGACGGTCCGGGCGGTTTTTCATACTATTGGCATGACAAAAGAATAAAGGACGAGGTGAAACTAAGTAGAAACTTTGGAGGAGGCACCGTTATGGTTTGGGCTGCTTTTTGCGCTCAAGGGAGAAGTTCTATTGTATGGGTACCAACAAAAATGAATGCACTCTTATACATTGAAATGTTGGAGAATTATATGCTCGATAGAGCCGAAGAGTTAATTGGATCCAATTTCGTATTTCAGCAGGACAATGCTGCTGTACATACCGCTAGGGTTGTAAAAAACTGATTTCGTGAAAAAAATATTAAAGTTTTGAGCTGGCCAGTACGAAGTCCAGACCTTAACCCCATAGAAAATCTATGGGGAATGCTCTACCGCGTCGTATATAAAAATGGAAAGCAATTTCATAGCGTTATAGAGCTCAAAGAGGCTATAAAACCAGCATGGGAGTCATTTACCACAGCGGACCTTCAAAAACTCGTCAACACTATGCCGAATATTTGAAATTTTATTTTAATTTTTTGTATTATTTTTATTTAAAAATTTAAATGTTTTTATATGAATTGCGCGATGTTTTTATATCAATTGAATTATTTATGTTAAAATTTTATAAAAATTGAATTAAAAATATTAATGTTTTGTTATGAAATGTATTTTTATTCGTTAGACAAAACAAAAAAACCAAAAAAATAAAAATTTAATTTATATTACATAAAAATATTAACAAATTCAATACTGCTTTTATGTGAATTGCGCTGACTGTATAATAAAACTGAAGAGCAGACAAAATATTATAAAAATCTAGATAATGCAATGTAGGAAATAATGTAATATTGAAAAAACTAAAAATTGAAAATTAAAATAAAAGTCCCACTTAATTCGCTTGACAACTTTTACAGATCCTATAAGTTATACAAGGACAGTTATACTTAATTTTTTAAAACATTTCTCTGAAGGAGGTGTTCTTACGAACGTGGGAAGCGTAATTTTCCCATTTATTTTAGTTCACCACAAGGTTGGTTGAAGTATTTATATTAACCTACTCAAATGTAGGTTTATTTTGTTATATAGTACCCTATTTAAGCATATTTCAGCTCTTAAGCTTTTTAAGATTGTGACAAAGAACAAAAGTAGAAAAAGGGAAATATCTAAATTCTAGAGTAAATTCAAAATTAGAACCATCCAGGGGCAAATTAATCATTCAAGAGACTTTTTCTTTTGAAATACTGGTAAATTTATGTCGTTCAACCAATAAACGATATTGTTAGAGCTTGTAATTAAAAGATAAAACAAAAAGTTAGACACCACACGCAAAAAAAATGAGGTTAATAGAATTCTAAACATGACATTCAGTCGTGTGTAAAGCACAGTTTTTTAATGATTTTTTACTCCATGCCTTTTAACGCTTTAAAATTGCACTTCGGATTAAGAGATCTTCTTCAGAAACTTTCCATACGAATATGAGAAATTTTTAAATTTAATGCGCCTAGCATTTATTTACAAATTATGTGTTATATATATATATATATGCAAAGATTTGTAGCCAGAAGGATAGAATATCGACTTCAGCATAAATTTTTGAAACTTTCCCGATATCTCCAATTTTCGAAGAACTTCAGCATGTTAATGGAAAACTTACCTTCCAAAGATTAAATCAAAGTCCAAGCTCTCATTAAATTAGTGTCTGCTACTGTATTACTTTTGGATTTTTTAAAAATCTGTTGGCACGGTAAGTTTGTTATTGTAAAATTTCAAATATTCTGGATTATTATTACGCTCAATGTGGACAAGTTAGTCTTATGCGGGTTTTTGAGATTACGTAAGGTAACAAATTATAATATATAAAAAAATATAAATCTTACAAATAATGGTACAAAGTACCATCTATTTCTTGTCTTCAAAGTCTGAGTATTAAGTTTTGCTTCTTAATACTGCCTTTTTGTAAATAATGCGTTAAATTAATAGGGAATATGTGGTTGAATGAGTTTGAAACTACAAGGTAAAACTACCGAAAAATAAGCAAAAAAATAATGGGAATAAAAAAGGAATAAATGTGTAGGTTATTAATCAAATGTAATCACAAATGTCAATAGGTTAGAACATAAGAATTGTATGTTTTTTCTATACACATACTGTGTGAAAATTCTTTCTTCTTCTTCAGCTGGCGCTACATCCCGTTATGAGATTTAAACTTCTTTACAATTTGCCTCCATTCTACTCTGTTTTCCCTTTTCTTTACCATTCGTGAACTCCTAGTGTTCGTAAATCACTTTCCAATCCGTCCAACCACCTAGCCCGTGGTCTACCCTTATATTCTCCTATGGTGATGTTTTGTGGTGTTCTTCTTCTTTCGTCTCTACTCATTTTTAAATACTTCGTTTTTTCTTTGTTAACTAAGAGGCCAACTCCAAGTGCTCTTTCAGCCAACTCAACGAATGTTTCAACCACACGTCATCTGCGTATGCCATTATCTGATATGGTACGTTGAATATGTAACCCCCAGTTTCGAGTGGTCCAATAACGTGCTGCAGAACCACAATAAATATGAAGGTTAATAAAGCATCACCCTGCCTGGCTCCAACTTTGACTGGAAATTTCTTAGACGTCTGTCCCTGAATCAATTTGGCAGTTTTCGAGTCCTGCATTGTTAGCAACTTCATTTGTATTAACTTGTGAGGAATACCCCTTCCAACTAACGCTTCTTGTATCTTGCTTCGTTTTACAGAGTCAAAGGCTCGTTGAAAATCTATACAAAGTATATGTAGATCCATATTGTATTGAGAAGTGTTATTCTCCATTGTTTGTTTTAATAAGAATATTTGATCTACAGTTGAGCGGTTTTTTCTAAATCCACACTGGTTTTCGCCAAGGATTTCATCGCTGAATGGCTTTAATCTATTATAGATAATATTGGACAATATTTTGTACAGAGTATCTAACAACATGATGACCCTGTAATTTTGACACAGGGTTTTGTCGCCCTTTTTATATATGGGAACAAGTACCACCACGACCTCTGACAAACTCAATCGTTATTCCACTTCTTCCTGGGGCCCTATTACTTTTCAACTTGTTTACCGCTTGCTTCAACTCGTCAATCGTTGGTAGGTCTATAACTGGATCCAGAGGTAAATTATCGTACATGTTTTCTTCATTGGGATTGTACCCTTCATTTAATGTTTTCTGAAAATACTCGACCCACTATCCATAATCTTGCTTTCTTCAGTTATAATATTACCCCTTGAATTCTTGCAAATATTAAGCTTGGCTAACTGTGTGAAAATTACAATTTTGAATTAACGCACATGGCGAAAACCATGTTTTCGCCATGTGCGTTAATTTAAACATTATTTTATGGCGAAAACTTTTAAAACTAAGGTGTACCCTTTCATTGTACCGTGAATTAATTGGTACAATGTTTAAAAGAAGCGATAACGCAGTTTTGGTATAAAACGTTCTTAAATAAATAAAAATGACTTTTTTCTTTCAATTCATTGAAAGTTGTATTCTTACACAGTACTTATTTCTAAAAAGTCAACCCAATTTTCAAACATTTCCAATTAAGTACGTATATTCTACGAATCAATCCACAATAATTAAAAGAAAAAAAAGAGATGAAAAATGTAATAAAAAAACTGAAAAAATGGGAAATAATGTGAGAACAAATATCATTGAAATATTTAATGCCGATTAAAATTTTACATGCTCTTACAATCCTTATATTATTTCTTTTTTTTCAAGTAGAAAATTTTCTTTGTTTGTTCTTTAAACGTCTTGTTTTGTTTGAAACGCCTAAATGGAAATAGAGTAAACCGTTACTACGAAATGATTTTGTAATTGGATGTTTACGCTCAACTTTAAGATATGTGCTCGCTACGGGATTATTTTAAAAAATTTTGTTCAAATAATAACTTAGTTTTTGAAAATAATAATTATATTTTAAAACTTTATATAACATTTAAGAGTTGCGTATTAATTCATTTTGATATCATTTTTGTAGAAAATGATTGCATTAATTTGAAACAGTTACGATTTGAACGTTAATGTGTTAGCAGAGTCAGACGGATGTAACGGACTAACGAAAAATGTGTAGATCTATCCAAAATACAGAGCTCAGCAAGAACACATATTATATGTACGTTTATGCAGCAGGAATAGTGTTTTGTAATATTTTGTATCAATGTGAAGTGGTAACTTTATATTACCCTAAGAATTAAGGTTTAACGGTAATGAATGTTGTCGTACATACGTACATACTTAAAAAAGAAAAGTGTTTAAAACATTTAAATGTAAAAATATTTAATACAGTTCACATAAAACACTTATTGTACGTACACCCTTTATGAATTTTTTACTCATAATATACATACTTGCATAATGACCTTGAAATAAATTTTACAACCGGCCGAATATCCAGTATACATAATCGTATACTTATTTTTATGGCCGTTGTTATGTCATATTAGTATTGTTATTTATGTAACATTTACCTCTTTTGCTGCACTATATTTATCATTCCATTTTTATACAGTTATTGTTTATTTGCTCTGTATTTTTTTGTCACTTTTAGTCTTTGTTTAGAGATTTATTGAATTGAACTCAAAACTAAAACGCTTTATTCTTGAATATTTTATGCATTTCTATTACATACATATATGTATGTACATTTCGAATTTACTTCTATAAGCAAAACATATACAACAAGAGTTCATTAAATGAAATTGAGGAAAAAAATGTATTTTCTTGTTAGTCTTTTCATTTTTATTAATTTAATGATGCATATACATATTTTTTCATAATAGCAAGGTATCGTAAATGAAAGAAATAAATTCCTTTTTAAAATTGAAAAAATTTCTAACAAAAAATTTAAATACTTTTGAAATAGTATTAACCTTCCAGTATAATTGAATTTATAAGGCACATAAAATATTAATATTAATTTTTATCGAACGAGACATAGAAAAACAATTTTCCGATGAAATGCTATTGTTAGTGAATATGTAAGCTATTCAGATGGACTTTTATTATGCGGAATACATTATAAGTACATATATCATATCACATAAATATCCAAAAAATAATTGTTCAATTTACAAAGGCGTGAATAGCTGTATAGTATTCAACAGTTTTTGCTTTCAGTTTTTGTCTTAACTACAATAATGTTGTTTTAAAAACTATAAGTATTATTATACATAACCTACATACATGGACAATATAATATTCAATGTGTACCGTTTTAATTTCAAACTTTCAAGTGATCTTTCGTCGTTTTAGCAAAAATGGAGATTGTTGAGTACGTTAGTATATGTATAAAAAATTTTTAAACTCTGTAGTCTGTGAGTTTTGCTCGCGAGCATTTGGAATTTTTTTCTGAGATTCAAGATTGGTATAAAGATTATCGTCTTGAAAAAATCTCTGCTTTTTGATTCCGAACATGTTTAAAAACGTAATGGTAAAAATGAACTTCAGTCTCCTACTGTCTTTTAGCATACGCATATTTTCAAATTCTATATTAAAAACTCTTAATTTATTTGAAGTTAGAAGTTGAAGAAAATAAATCGTCGGCAATGTGCTTAAGGTTTAAGTTAAGGTTTAAATAAGAGAATTAGTAGGAAAATAAATATTTATTGTAATTGTTTAAATAATTAAACCGAAAATTTGGATCAACACTTGATCATCACAAATAGTTAATTCTGTAAAAGTAAATTTATTGTGAAATGTCTACGTTCCAGTATTATGAAAAATTATGATAATCGGTTAATTTGTTTTTACACGTGATGAATACTTATATTTCATATTAATATTTCATTAAAATTAATATTTTATTAAAATAATTATTATTTCATTTATTTTATTTTTTGACTTCAAACTATATGTGAGTATATTATCGCAGAAGATATTACCCATATTGTAAATCTCACTTGTAGCACTGAAATTCAAAGAGATTACGAATTTCATATTATGATTTTCGAAGTAGTAGAAATGTATTGCAAAATTCGTAATAAAGTAATTATGAATCACTCGTAATGAAAATAAAAGTATAAAATTTTCACTAATGAAATTTTCAAGCGTAGAAAGCCAAGTATTCAAGAGTGGTCGGCTAATTTTTTCAGGTTTTTATTTATTTGTTAAATTTTTTTATGTAAAAGAGGAAAACGCAAGTATAAATATTATATTAAAAGTTTCTTGAAGATTTTCTTGAAGGAAAACGAGTTCAAATTAATTAAACTTTTTGTTTGATTGTCTATGGTTTTTTGAAATGTCTATTATTTTTTTAAAAGTGTATTATTTTTTCAAATATCTACTATGAAATTTGAAAAATTTAAATGTTGTCACTTGGAAGATGTAATAAAATAACGATTTTGACACTCCGAAAAATAACGTTTCCATTGTAGATTTGTAATCTCTACAAGTGAGATGTATAATTATTCAAAAGTCTGCGTGCGTAAATTAGTTTGAAATTCGTAGAATTCTACTGGTCAGATTCACTATAAGGTGCTTATTATACATTATTGTTTTTTATTTACTTTTTTCCAAGATGATCTAATAATCCTAAAATAATTAGAAGAAAAGTAATAAAAAATTAAATAACTTATAATTATGAATTATATAAATTATACTGTAAAAAATGCAAAATTTTATTTGTAAACTTTTGGTTTAAACTAAATTTTTGGTTTTAGGTGGAGTTTAATACTATTTTGGCTTAAATATAAAATTATAAAAGCTTTAAATTCTTCTTTACGATTTTAATTGTAAATTTATATTTAATTTAAAATTAAAAGTTACTGGCTTAGACTTTAAACTTCTAAGTGCTAATTTTAAAAACTGTTATAGTTAACAATCTAAGCGTTAAGATTTAACTTTGAAATTTAAAATTTGAAAATAAGTTTAAAAAGTAAGTCGAAAATTTAAAATGTGAAGATTATATTTTAAACTGAAAACTCTAAGATCTAAACTCTTATAGTTCAAACAGTTTTTATATACTAATTGTTAAACGTTTTTTGGTTTGGATAAATATAAAAGCTTTATAATTTAAAATTAAAACAAAATTTTTTGCAATATAGTGCAAGAAAAAATCAAGAAATATAAAATAATTTATTTCTTGCGAAATTCTTATAAGTATCGATTGGCATTGTCTATTTTCAAATTTCAGGTCTTATTTTTCTAGTGATAAATAGTTACAAATTATTAATGTTTTATATGTAGAACTTGTATAAGAAAGATATTCTTTCGAACTCAAATAAAATCAATAAGAATTTCAGTTGAAAAATGTTGAGTGTTAAAAAATCGCTCTATAATATGATTTTAATGAAAACTTTATCTGTTAATTTCACTTTCAAAAAGAATGAAAATAAAAATTTCAGGATAATCTCATTATATTAAATTAATCAATTTCCATTAGCCAATCTTCGTGAGTCAAATTCAATTTTCAATTCAGCGAAAAATTTTGATCCAGTATAGTTTAAATTCCAGTTCGTTATTTCTTGTAAAAATTTGTGTATTAGTTTAATCTTCCGAAACCGTATTTCAAGATTATCAAAAATGAAAATTACGTTATTTGAAAATACATTTAGTAAAAAAGTACAATCTAACCAAGAATTAATTGAAATTCTCACGTCAAACTTAACCCAACACATTTTATTGATTAAATTTTACATTGCATTACTTTAAAGTTTAAAAATTTTCAACAATTCAATAATTATAAATTATGACTAAATTTCGACTTTTAATTAACTCCTGTGAATTAAAGTTATAATAGCTAGAGTTAATAATTGTAGAGTTAATAGTTTTGTATAAAACTTTTTGATTTTTGCTGTCCATTAGTCAATTAGTTACTTTTAATATGTAAAAATGCTTTCCTTCTTTGTACCATTTTAAATTGAGGCTTCGTTTTAGTTGCCCTGCAAATTCCCTCAAACCGGTTAATATACTAAACATTGAATGTAAGTATGTTGTTTTTTATTTTAATTTTTTTTCGGAAATAATCTTCTTTGAAAAAGTCGAAGCAAAATTTTTCCTAAATGGAAGTAAATTTCTTTCTTGTTCAAAGATTTTATCCTTCGGTAAATACTAACAATTAAGTTTCACAAAAGAAATGCTTTACATATTTTATTCTAAAAATTTCTGAGTTTTAATTTCTTTGA